AAATTCTTTCCAAATAGAGTTATTCGAGTCATTTAGTGAAAGTGGCTGTCATTTTTTTCACATCGCAGATATACAAAATATCGCTTTGTCAGTTCTTTCCAGTATCATTCAGCCCTAATTTAGAGGCAGACGATATTTCACCCAGTGTCAAAACTTCAAACAAAGAAGCATTCAGCTAGAGACGATTTAAAACCTTGACATTACAAAAGGACAATATGAAGCTCTTTTCCTAAATCAGGTTGTAGGATGGTGATAAATGTTTCACGGTGTGTTTATGGGGATATTATGAGGCACACTATACCACCATCATCTTCAACTTTCACTTCAAAACCCACAGTATATCTAATCATATAGATAATGTGGTATCTATATCTATTAGGGTTATGGTAAACAGTGTGTTGTTTTCAGATATATTCAGGGACTATGAGGCTGACTATGGTGCCACCTCGAGTGCAGAAGAGGTGGAGCACCAAGCGGAGGAGGGAGGGAGGAAACGGAGGGAGGCGGAGGAGGAAGAGGAGGAGGAGGAGGAGGATGATGATGGTGATGATGATGAGGAGGAGGAGGAGGGTAGAGGAAAACGTTCACTGATACTTGGCATGCCTCCTCGTCTTAGTTTATCCTCATCCTGCTTTTCTCCTCAGCCCTGACATCTAGATGATAAGTGCCGTGGTCCCTGTTTTCCATATGTTTATCTTCAGACTTTTTCCAGCCTCGCTCTGCCTTTCTTCTTTTTTCTTCTTCTGCCTCTTTCTCTCTCTCCCACGGCATGAGCATGCAATTATAGCACAGGAACCTCCTCTCCTCTTATAGGGAATCTATAAGGTTTATGGTTCAGCTCAGCTCCACAGTTTGTCTGCATTGTTTTTTTTTTGCCCCTCATGTCATTGTGTTCCAAAATCACAGAATTTTTCCAAATGCATGATTGTCCTACAGACTGGTTCTGTCTTATAACTGAAATATAAACACAGGACACACGGAAACACACACACATAAACACACAGTCCTTCTGTTATGAACGTATTATTCGATTAGCTCTCATAATCTGTGTTGCGTAACGCTTAAAATGTTAATCTGGCTGCAATCTGCAGCTCAGTGACAGTTGGCGTCCGCCGGCATGACGGCTGTGAATAGAAGCACGGAAGAGGAACGCATGAATTTGTGAAATATTACTTCCACGGTCCAAGTCAATCTGTCACCCACATATTTTCAAACACATTTTGGCAACTCTGAACTAACACTTCAGCTGTCACTATCGCTGTGAGTGTTGGTGCACTTGTAAAGATGTTTCAGGGATGTGAGAAAATAAATATCTCCGAGGACCCTTTCCATTCATTCCGCATGCATGTACAGTCCTCGTGCATGTGTAGATATTTAGTGAGAACGTATGCATGCACACGTTTCTTAATGCATGTGTCTTCATGAGGCACTTTGAGTTCTTTGCTGATTGTGTGTTGTTTTATAACAGCAGGGAGGATTGTGATCGCCACCACTGCTGTCACAGTGACGGTGGGCAAGAAAACTGCCATCGCAGGAGGTAGGATGACAATTTTTTGTTTAAACACACACACATGCTTTACCCCTCCGTTGGCTTCCTTCTTTCCTCCACAAGTTTAATCTACCTTCATCCCCACATGTTCTTGCAAAGCTCCTCATTCTGCTCTCTCTGCGGTTCTTCCTCCCCTTTCTTGCTGTTTTGCTTTGTAAAGTCATCCGGATGTTAATTTAACTGGCCTGATTTGTAGGTGAACTCGCTGATTGGATGTTAATTGCTGCCAGCATCACTATCCTATCTCCTTTTTGGTGTAGATGTGCTGTTTGTGCTCGTTGTGGATGTGGCTCAGACTCAGGCCGCCCCGGTGATGATGCTTGCGGTCGTTTTTCTTAAAGATGACTCCAATGATTAAATAAGGAAAAGCTTAGGGAGCCATAATTGAGTGTGCCTGCGCTTCACTGTGTATTTTGCACAGAAACATTTCGTGCTTCCTGCTGTGTGGGCTATTGTGTGTGTGTGTGTTTGTCCTGGTAAGCCCATCTGTGACTGACACACTCATCAGTCATAATTATGTGAGTGAGACGAGACTCTCCGGAGCTGCATCATCAGCCTGTGACTGTATACCTGCACGAGTTTGTGTCTCATACGCTGACAGACAGAAACACTCGCACAAACGAACGCGCTTATCTGTTTCTCGCAGCTTTTGTAGAAATAGTTCTCAGGTGTGAAAATCGTGTTATATTTGGAGGTGGAAAACAGAAGAGTGAGGAGAAATGAGAAAGAGTTCAAAATAGATGTGTTCCAGTCGCTCTCTTAATCTCACCGCCTGTCATTCTTACTATTTCTCCTTCCCTTTTGCAGTTTCTCAATCTTTTGTAACCTACAAACTAGAAATTACATCTGAAAACAACACTTTGTCAGATTTCAGTGTTTAGAAAATGCATCCAAGAACACTTAAAGACAGAAGCTCTGTTACAGCATACATTATATTCATTCATTTAATAGGTTTTGGGCCTTTTCTGAAAGCAAAAACAACAGATTTGTGAATAAGTCAGTCGTGTATTGTCGTGTGATGATCACCAGTTGGAGGTCATAGGTCCAGGTCCGTCAAGCGGAGCAGCTTTTCCACCCGCTGCTTCCCTCTCGCTAAAACCCAGAGCGGATGGCTGTATCAGTGTTTTATAGACTCGCTCTCTCTGACATCACGTCTCACTGTGTTTCACCCTTTGATGCTCTTCTTTACCCTGTTAAACCCTCACATACATCTCTCTTCTCTTAGCCTCTCTCTTCCTATAAGCTGTCAGACTTGTCTCCCTTCACTTCCCCACAGTTTTTTCCCAACCCTCTTCACTGCCTTTCTCTTCCCCTTGTTACTCTCCTCTCCCTGTCATGTCATCCTTTTTCATATCCCTTTGCTCTCGAGCTTCCTCTCCACCTCTGTTTCACACCGCTGTACGCGAGGGAGGCTTTCTTGTCTACAGCGACGCTCACCTCCTGAACATAAGGGGATCAAATATTTAGAGGCTGCCTGGTCAAGGGACATGCACACCGACACATGAAAAGCTGTACTCTGGCCGCACTATCCTTGAAGTGTGTGTCCATGTAGCTAAAAGCACAATGTAAAATCAGAAAAGGGTCTGTTACATGCAGACTTTTGCCACTCAAGGCCTCATATTCAAGTTCTTGCTCAAGGAAAGCAGCACAAATGTACAAAGTTGTCTAGACATGGTTTATTCTGTGGTGCAGGTTTGCACAAATGTGAGAAGCAAATAATGTTGTAGCATTTTGCAGATTAAGTTCTGAGGAACACGATGGCCTAAATGCTTCTATTTAATGCAGCGAAGCCGTTTCCCAAATGTGAGATGAAAGTCATTTTCTTACCGAACGCAAATACTATTTATTATGTGCATTGCTGCGGGCGATTGAACAGGCTGTTGTTCCGTTTGTGACCACTGGGTGTCAGTGTTTATCTGAACAGAACGTGGTCAGTTTGCCCACCAGCGTCTCAGCGAATTGTGTGCTTAGCTTTCATGGTGATTTGGTGGCAGATTTAATTTCTCATCCTTTGATGAAGGCCAAGGAAAAACACTGTGTATATACTGTTCTAGGGCTCAGCGATGGATTAGTATATCTCTGCAGCAGAAGTGACAGGCTGTATGTAAATAAACCTAATGCTCTCCTACTGACAGAGCAGCAGACTGAGAGAACGAGGGAAGAGGGAGCGATAAGTGGGTAAATAAAAAAGACAGGGCGAGGGTGAGAGCAGGGGGGAGAATAAAGGATAGAGAGAGGATATTTGACACGGAGGAGGAGGAGAGGAAGCAGTGAATGCGGATAAAGACGAGGGAGAAAAGGAGGTAAGACAGGGGAGGTGAAAAAGTGAAAGAAAAGGCACAATAGACGAGACAGAGCGAAGGATAAAGAGGGAGAGAGAGAAAGGAAGGTGAAATAATGGGAGAAGAGGAAACAGATAAGTGAGAGAGGAAGGGAAGGAGAGAAGTGAAGAAAAATGGGAAAAGATAGGAGGTAAGGGACAGAAAAAATGAGATAACAGGAGGTCTGTTATCATGACTGATTTATGACTCTTTATTCCATTTCTGACTTTCTCCTTCACACATAAAACAGATTCCTCCACTTCTTTTTTTAGATGCAAAAAAACCCTCAAAGACGTTTTTTAAATCTGCAAATTTCATCAAATAAGTACTTGTTGTAGTTTTTCAAACCTTCTCATTGGTCTGGATGTAAATTTGACATTGGTGTGATATGTTTTTTATTTAAATCAATGCATATTGACCAGGAAATGCTTCATCACCATCATCATATCATCATCATCATCATCATAATCACAGTCGTCATGATAACACAACACACCGTCGTTTCCCGAGCTGTGCAGTCTCAGAGGCCCCTCAGTCATCATGGCTGCTGCAGTTTTTACGTAGCAAACTATAATTTATTAGTCTTTACACACACAGGCTATAGGAAACAGGACTGAGCTAGCTAAGATACTTAGCTACCAACAACACAAGACCTGCAGACCAGGAGGTGGTGAGAGGACAACGTTTCCAGATTCATAGACAGAGTTTAGCCTCACGTACTGCCTCAGAGTCTCTGAAGTTCAAGGATAAGTTATGCTTTAAATTCAGCGTATGTTCATGCATACCTGGAAGACACCAAGTACAAAGCTTATATGGAAACTACTTTTACTTGCTTGACATCTCTTTACATTAGTGATTATTCGGCTTTTGTGCATCCTGATTTTTCGTGTGATAAATCCAACCAGCCCGGTCTCTTACAAATTACATTTGTATGCAGGTATTCAAGGTTTTCCCTGCTGATGCAAGACGTAGCTTAATGTAATGTAAATGTGTAGAGGCCAGGGTAGTGGATAAAACCGTATCTTCAGCACTCATTTCTCTAAAGAGATTTGCATTATTTAGCTATGGCCTGAATGCAACCTTTTCCTGCTCGGTTTAGTTGCCACATCTTAGTAGTTATCGTATTTGGATATTTAACCATTTAAAAAATGTAGGAACCCAACAACCCAACATCAAATATGATGAATAATTATCTGTAGGAGGTAAAATCACACTCAATGTTACCTTTCATCTTGTGTATGTCAAGAAATGCCACCCAGATAAATCTCAGAGATGAGGCAGTATTTCACACACTCTCCCAAACTCTCTCTATGCTTCTTACAGAAACTTTACCGACTACTGAACACAAATAAATGGACACGACAAAGAAACATTACAGAGATATTAAAGCCTAAAACAAAACATAGAAATCCATTAACACAACAAAAGACGTACATCATGAAATCGATACAGGAAACCATAAACATTTGGGGATCGCTGGGCCAACACACCACAGTAGACTAGTATAATAATATTTATCTGCATCATACCCAGGTTGAACATAACACACTAGTAATATAGGTTGATTTCCAGCCAATCAAAAATTGAGAGGGAGCAATAGTTTTACTTTAGGGGGTGGGGGGCAATATGCAATGAATGCTGCTTAAATCACTGTCCTGCTCTGCCATCCGTAAAATGTTTACATGAAAATCCCAGGACGTAATTAAGGATACAGATGAAAACACAATGTAAAGCAAACAAACAAACCTTTTTTTTTTTCTTTTTGTTTTGGTGAATTCACGTGTCAATCAAGCAGATTCCTCTGAAGTACGTGAGGATTTCAAACAGAAAGACTGTTTGTCAGTGAGAAAATGTTCATGTTATGGTGACTTAACTTCCATTGCATATTGCAGACCTTTTGAGAAAAACAAGACAACAATATGGGAGGATGAATGAAAGGAAACGATGGAGGTGGAAATCTTCGAGGAGTGTGAAAAAACTTTCCACAAATAGCACTGGATGGAAAGATGGATAGAGCGATAAAGGGATGAAAAGAGGACGGGGAGAAATAGCAGCGTTTTCCTTTTTTTTTTTTTTGGTTGTTTAATCCCTCTTTATTTATAATCCCTCTGGGCAATCCGTCCATCTTAGAAAGGAAGAGAAGGAGGGGAGGAGGGAGAGAGAGAGAGAGGCAAGAGGGGATCTGATTAGGGAAATAAAGTGCAGGAGTCTGAAGTTTATAGTCCTTAGATGAGATTTTGAAGTCCTTGCCAGGAGACATGGTTCTCTGAGATAGTTTTTTTTTTTTTTTCTTCGTGCCGTTGTAGCAAACATTCACCACTGAGGGGGTGAAATCAGTCCGAAAATGAGTTCTGAACAAAGAATATTTGCTTTAAATCAGCGTCCTTTGAATCTCAGTAAAATCTGATCCAGAAGTCCAACAGAAAATTAATTTGACCGCTTTTTCTCGCCATGATAAGAGGTTTTCTGATCCGTCCAGACATTGATCATAACCATTTAACAAGCATCGAGTTAGCAAGAGGCTTTTTCTGAAGAAGACAAACACAGCAAGTTCAATAAAATGGCTTGGGCTGATTGATAAGATCCATTGTAGAATCTAATGCGCAGCTCCAGCGTGGGACGCTTTGAGGATCTATTTAGTCCGCAGGAGATCCAGAGGAAAAGTGAGATCTGGTCCAAGTAGGGGGTTAGGGCCCACAACGTCTGGTGATCAGTGGCTAGATCATGTTGTCAATCGAAACACTTTCCATTCATGAGGATACAGGAGACTCAGTGTCCTTGATTTTTCCATCAACACTTGATGCATCAGTGTTCTCTCTGTTACAACACAGCAGAGAGGCTTTGAGTGTATAAATCGCATCTCTGTTTGAGTTTCCATCAAGTTTCTTCCATTTCCCCCCAATTTCCTGAGGGGGCTTCAAGGAAAAATCAGAGGAGGATTAGGCCAGAAGAGGGTGAAGGAATCTGGGCTGGGGTCCTGTTTCTTAGAGGAACTACTGGCTTTGGAGAGGTTGAAAAGGAGAAAGATGGAACTAAA